GCCCCACACACAGGGTTTCTGTCCAAGCCTACTCCTGGATACACGCATGAGAGCTGCATGTTCTTTGAGTGAAAGATGTTTGGAGTTTTCATTGGGTTTGAGGTGTATAGACGTACATTTCATGATATATATGGAAATTTTTGGCTTATGCATCAGAATTTGAAACCATTCACAGAAAGCCAAATCATTGTAGCCATGTTCTGAAATGGCAAGCAGCAGTTCTTAACCATATATGGTCCTTAGAATCCTCTGAGCTACTCCATTCAGGGTAAGATATGTCCTACACACACTTTTACAAATTACCTTAGGAAACTCACAGGTTACCCCTCATCCCACATGAAGAAGTAGCACTGTTCTGTATGAAGACCTTGGAGAAAATAGCCTGAATGGTTTACTCGAACACGTATTATAGATTTTTCTCCCTTGAGGAACAAAACACACCCTCTACTGTAACCTTGTCTGCAACAAAGACTGCATGAATGCCGGCTCAGCAAAGTCTCTGCTGATGATTTTTAGTTTAAAAGCTCCGTGCAATGATTCTCAATGTACAGCAACTCCTGAATGCTCTGTTTAGCCATTTACTTTTTCATTACCCTACTGTCTTTTGCTTGTGGAAAATAAAACAGTCATGGTAACACAAACCTGTACACTAAAAAAGATAGAGCTAGATACTGGTGCTCAGAAGACACCGTGTATGGTAATAGATTAGAAAGCTTGCTCTAGAAATATAAGACACTTTTATTCAGCTCATTCCTCATTTGACAGGTAAAACCTTTTTAGTTTTTGGAGAATGTTGATAGAATGAGGATTTGCTGCTTCGGTTTAAAGTGGAAATGAAAATACAGTTTGGCTATGTAGAAGCAACACTGTAAGAGCAAGCCTTCATTGTTTTACCTTTTGCTGTTTGTTTAGTTTAGTAGCCAGGATGTACCATGTAGAAGTTTTGGAGGGTCTACTATATTGGTGGTGATATGTTATTGTCTTCTGTGTAATGCCTCTGAGCCTCCGTTTCCCCACTTGGACAATGGTGATGCTCTAGTTTCTCCAGGCATGTTTTAGAGAGTGGAGAACCCAAAAAGCAAGTCTTGTCCTTAGACTTGTTCATTCAGGCTTTTTGAAAAGTTATGTATTTATTTTTCTTTTATGTGTATAAGTGTTATGCCTACATGTATGTAAGTGCACCTGTGTCATGCAGTGCCTTAGGAGGACAGAAAAGGGTCTTGGATCCCCTAGAACTAGAGTTATGTATAGTTCCTAGCCACCATGTAGGTGCTGGGAACTGAACCTGGGTCCTCTGCAATAGCAGCCACTGTGCTTAACCACTGAGCGATCTCTCCAGTTCCTCATTCAGGTTTTATGTTTGTTTGCTTGTTTATGTGTGTTTGTGGGGTCATGTATGTGTACATGAGTACACATGATTACAGAGGTCAGAAGTTAACATGGAATATTTTCCTCAATTCATCTTTTTTTTTTTTTTTTTTTTTGAGATAGGGTCTTTCATTGAACTTGGAATTCACTGACTGGCTAGGCTGACTGACCAGCAAGCTGCAGCGATCCTCCTGTCTCCACCCCCACAATGTGGTGGTTACAAGCGTGCTGTGAGACCATGCCTGGGATCTAAACTCTGGTCCTCAGGCTTGTGCAGCAAGTGCTCTTAGCCACTGAGCCATCTCTCCAGCCCTGCTTTTGTGTGTGTGTTCTCTCCATGGGGCAAGTTTCTTCCCATCATAGGACCTAGATGGCTTTTCTTTAGATCGTTGGCTTAGCTGGTTTCTTCTCATCACTTAGTACACCTGTTCAAATGTCACTGTATGTGATATAGCTCTTCCTCCCACTAGCAGATCACCTATTGTCTTGCCTTTGTGGCACTTATGACTGTCTAAAATTACATTTTCCTTTGTGTGTTGTTTTTTCCTTCTAAATTGCAGTTTGTATGAGAGAAAAGGCATTGCTGGGGCGTCAGTAATAACAATGTCTGATCTATCGCGGGTGTCAGTAATGACATGTTGAATGAATGAATGAGCTTTAGTTTCAAACAGAAGTTACTTTAGGAAAACCAATGATTTTGATTTGTGTTTCTACACTGAGAATTTGCTCATAATAGTCATAATAGTGAATGCTTACATAAGAATCAGCAAAACTCCAAGCATGTAACTAATTAGATGGTTCGTGTTTTATATGATTTAAGCAATTTTATTTTATTCTCAGGACTCTACAAAATAGATATTATTACTCCCATTTCATAGGCATAGGCCCAAAAATGGGATATAGGAAGGTTAAAAAACATGCACTAGACGTTACAAGGGACAGGTGTGAATGTGGGTATTTGAGCCAGTGCTCTTTGCCACCCAATAGAAAGTGCTTGGCACTCAACCATGGGATTCATTGGCCTTGGGCTATTCAGACCTCATTTCAAAATGACTACTTTTATGCCTCTTCTACAGAGGGGGAAGCTGGACATGCAAAGCTCTAGCAACTTATTTAAGGTTCCAAAGCTCTACTGAGTGATGAAAAGGGGCTCTGAGTGTAGACAGTGTGAATCTGAAACCCATTATCTCAGGAGCCTTGTTCATAGTACATGAACTCTGTGGATTGCTCTTACAGTCTAGTCTTTCTGAGGCCTGGGGAAAATAGATTCATCTCCCCCTCTCAAAGTGTCTCCACTGGGGTATTGAGTACCTGTTCCTTGGCTGCAGATTTATAACTGTGGAACAGACCAACTTAGAGGTAGGAATAAGAGAAACAGATTTTTTAAAATAATACTTTTATTGATTCTTTGAAAATGTCATACAATGAATTTTTATCATATTGAACTACTCTTTCCTATCTCACATCTACTCCCACTTTCCTATGGCCCTACTTCCTCTCTTCTTTTTTTTTTTTTTTAAAAAAAAGCCTGTAGAGTCCAATTTGTGTTTCCCAAATGCTCTTGGGTGTGGGTCCATCCCTTGGAGTATGGGCAACCTACATGGGATTACAGCATAAGAGAAAACTAACTCTATCTCCCTTAGTTGCCAATAGTTCCTCAGCTAGGGGTGGGGTTTCATGCCCCCATCCCCCCCACCTCCATGCTGGGATTTTATCTGGCTTGGGCTTGTGCAGGTCTTGTACATGCTGTTACGAACAGTATGAGTTCATATGTGCAACTGTCCTGTTGCATCCAGAAAACACTGCTGCACTGTAGTCATCCACTGCCTCCGTCTCTTACAGTCTTTCTTTTGTGACGCTGCTCTCTGAGCTTCTGGGGGAGAAGTGTGAAGTGATGTCCTTCCTATCTAGGGCCGAACACTTCAGTCTCTTATTCATTGCACGTTGACCAGTTGTGGGTCTGTGTTAATTGCCTTCTACTGCAAAAAGAGCGAAAAGCAGGATTATAAAATATAATCTAACTGCCTTCCTCTTCAAAAAGACCATAAGAATAAAATTTAGAAATATGGTAACTGAAAAGTCAATCTTTGTTTCTAAAATAAACTAGAAAAAAAGTTTTAATTTATTTAGGTCTGACTATGTAGTGATCTAAAAGTACAGTGTATAACATTTAGACTATTGAATTGGAAATGTATTCACCAGTTTGCTTCTTCTCACTGACTGTACTCTTATTCAGTCTAACCTGGGCAAAGGCCCTCTGCAGGGAGTGGAGGATGTTGCACTGTCTTCTGTCTAATATTCAGTTCCATATCCATGCATATGTGTTACTTATTATGTGGAATCAATCGCAAGTAAAATTCTAGAACTCACACATTGACTTCAGAAAAGTGTTAGTGTGAAGAAAGAACTGTGTGTATATATACGCAGAGATTAAACCTTTTTTTCTTTGACAATTTCTTTAAGCCTGGAGACTAGTTGATTCAACAAGAAGAAAATGAGTTTGGCCAATATTGAACTCTAATATTCAAACACTTCCACAGAACTCTTATTACAAGCATTTTATCTACACGGTTCGATGTGATCCTATCTGAACTTGTATGTGATGCTCACAATTATCCAAATGTGTGGGCAGTGTGGGTATTATTAAGCCATTTTACAGATGAGGAAATTGAGGTTAATAGAGTTTAAAGAGCTTGCCCAAGGTCAAGTAGCTAATAAACAGCAGAGCCAGCACCTGAACCAAAGTCTTTGCACTCCAAAACACGTGTTTCTTTTGCTGCTCCCACACACCACACCCTGGCCAGAGAGCCTATTAGTGGTGAGACTACAGGTTTAACTGCAACTACAAGGTTGGCGTCTGGAGGGTAGATCCTGTGGATTCTGAGGGGGTCCTCAGATGGCATGTCTTTCACTCAGTACTGTGAGCATGTCTTTTGTTCCACTGAGTTTCAGTCTTGTCTACTTAAAGTGTGTGAACATAGTCATAGTGTTTGTGGACCAGGACCAGCATTATGTGGCTTCCAGCATTCAACTTTTATTCTGTTCCTCTGGAGCCTCCTGGCGGTTTGTCCTTGCACCCAGTGTGACAGGTGCGGTTGGGGCTGGCATCTCAGTGATTCCTCCTTTCCCATCCTTGAGTTTAGGATCTGACAGAAATTTTATTCCCAAGATTTACTTTCTTTTTACTCGATGTTCTTCCCACTGGCATTACTCTTATGATTTCTTCCAGGTTTTGACAGAGTTGCAAAATTTATAAAACACATGTGTTTACTCGGGGAAGGGATTTCAGAAATAAATGGTTCAGTGACTCCAGGTGAGCAAACCAGGAACCCAGGTTGATTGAAAAGATTACATGATTCAGCAGTCTTGCCTCAGACACTGCAGGAACCTGGTTTTGCCAGGCCTGTGCTGGCTGCCCATCTTTCTGGATGACAAGGATCATTGGGCATCCAGCAGGCCAGTAGAAGGCAGTAATCCCTTAACTTTCATCTAGATGACACATCTTTGCCACTATTGACTTTATTCAGCAGATTGAATAAATTTGAATAATTGAGCTTTCCAAACAGAAGCAACACATAACTCCCATTGATGTGTAAAACACAAATGAGCTGAACAATCCTATCTTTTCCTAGCAGACCTATGAGTTTGGTGGGCCAAGTCCAAGAGGTCAGAATGCTGCTCCTCTATCATGCCTTAGCTGTGACTGCTGTTCAGATCCTTATCTTCTCAGAAAACCGGGCATTTGCCAAGAACATCAACTTCTATAATGTGAGGCCTCCTCTCGACCGTAAGTAGGGGTTGCCTTCCCCATTCCTGACTGGAGCCCCTGTTCATCTACCACACTTGGCCTTTCTCTGGAATGGGGAGAGAAAGGGTGTCCATTGCTTCTGTGGTTGAGGGTGTGGTGATGGAATTTTATTTCATTAAAATGGTTTGGTTTCCTGCTAAAATCTTATAAGGCTTCTACTTTAAGAACACAAAAACAAAACAAGCCTCTTGTGAATAGTGCCCCTGGGTCAGCAGAGGAAGTCAGTGCTCTTGACCAATTTCTTCATTAGAGAAGAATATTGGCTCTCAGAAGTTTCTGCACAAATTATATACCCATTGTTCCACATGGACGTTAGCAGTTTTTGAAAATCCATTAGAATGCTTGAAATTGGAAGACAATATGACTCGGATTTTTATTATGTGATGCATAATTGCCATTAGCAACTACTACATAAAAGATTTTCCATTGATAGTAGTCAGGAGGGTGAGATGTGGGACATGTTTTTCTTTTCCTTTCTCCTTTTTTATAAAGCTTTCCTGGCACTGGTGATACACAACAGGGCAAGAAGGATCTTTGTCTTAGCCCTGAATGAGATGGGAATCATTAATATTCTTTGCTTCGTATTTCTTTATTGTTCAGGGCATTCAGTCTTTTCTGTCTCTGTTTCTATCACATATCTATCCTCTATATACCTACGTATATACCTACCTACCTATCATCTATCTCTCATCTATCCATCTCTCTATGCAGTTTGTCATATGATACACACATATATACATAAACACTATATATCTTGAAATATCACTGAAATATACATTCCTAAGTTGTTAATGGCCATATACTGATAGCTGAAATCCATGCACATAGTTTTCATAACCTTAAATTACTTTAAAATGTCCAACATTTTTAGTCTAAGCACAAATTTTTGATGAGGTGAAAATCATTTTAAAAGAGAAAAAAGAAGTTGTATTCATTATATAAAATCACATAGAAAATGTATAAAAGAAGTTAAAATGTATTCATGATCCCAAGAGTGAAAGGTGTTCATCTTTATACTTTTTATTTAATATTTTTAAAATTTAAAAATATTTTCCAGTGATTTTTCTATATACATATATTTAGATATGTGATAAACTGAAATGATATAAACAGTTTTACATTAGTTTTTTGCTCTTTATGTTCTATTTTGAATAATTTCCCATATTTTTAATATATTTTAATGGTTTTTATGTTTAAAACATTTGTGTGGCTGGTCTATAGTTTAGTTAGTCATTTTCTATCAGAAAAAAAAATCACAAATAAAGGCCTGAAGTGTAGCTCAGTTGGTAGTGTTTGTCTAGCATGTAGGAAAACCTGGGTTAGATTTCCAACATCTTGTAAACTCAGTATAGTAGAGCAAGCCTATAATCCCAGCACTTGGGAGGTACAGGCGAGGGAGTCAGAAGTGCCAGGTTATCCTATCTACAGTAGTGTGGTTTGGGTTTTGCATTGACCTGTATTCTTCCAAACTGGGAGGATTAAAAGTTGTACCCTTGTCTATATAGAAATAGCAAATTATTTTTTCTTCTTGCCTGTTAAAATAGCAAGATACATGGCCCGCAAAAGCAGAAGGACATAAAGAACACACTATACACTCTCAGTCCATACTGTTAGCAACTCAGAATTTCTCTTTTCCTTAACATCTTTGGCCTGATTATAAAGACTTAAGAATTACTGTCATTCTTGAATCAAACATTACATTCCTATTTGAGGTCTGATGTTATGACAATGGGCATATATCAAATGAGATTACTTATTTGAGGTAAATGTAGCTGTACTGGGAGTGCACATGGAAGGAAATTAGCATGGTTTGATATGACAGGGACCCTACTAGGTATTTTTCTTTAAGTCCCATCTAATCCTCACTATAACTCTACAAGCCATGGAGATCTTCATTGTTATTATTGTAAATATTGTTGTATCTTAGAAGTTAAAAAAATCACACAGTAGTTGGTGGGAAGGACAGAATTCAAGCTTAGGTTAATCTAGACTCTAGTTCTTTTCAAATATGATACAAGAATAAAATTATTGTTTCTAATACCACTACCACCCTCAACCATTCCCTTCACCCCCTTATTCCAGTTGGTAAATTGTAATAGAACGAGTGGCTTATGGGATCATTTTCATTACTCTGTAGTAGAAGTTCATTACTTAGTAGAAAGAAAATAAAGAAAATGGCCAAAAGCCTGATGGGTACATCCAGTCTTCCCAGAGACAGAAATTCTATAGAGGATGTCCTGTATGTTTTGTTTCATCTAATAAAAGTTGCTAATTTTGTGCCATTTTTGATGTTTGAGATTTTTGTCTTTTTGTGACATCACTTTGCGTTTTTATTTAAAGCCACACCATTTCCAAACAGCTTCAAGTGCTTCACCTGTGAAAATGCAGGGGATAATTATAATTGCAATCGATGGGCAGAAGACAAATGGTGTCCACAAGGTAAGTGTCTGAGCTTGGAAGACTTCACATTCTTTACCTCGCTTTATCTCCTGACTTGCTCAGAGCAAGATGTCTTACATAATAGATTAGCATACCAACAGCCTGATGACATTATATAAGATATTTCTTGTAAAGACCTATCCAAACATCAGACTATCCTGAGAGAGCTCCAGAAACTGGAGACACAACCTTAATGTGCAGTTGTATGCATCTTGAAGAGGAATTTCTTAAATGGTATTTATCAAGAACATTGAGACCACAGTGTTGACTAAGGCATTCTAACAATTCCAGAAATGCTTGATGATAGCCTAGAAAAGTCATACTTACTGGCTTACAGAAAAGAAAGGTTTCTGCACTCCACTCTTGATATGCATTGATGCTTGAGAAACTCTTTTCATAAACATCTGATTATCCTTGCTAGCTCACTGACACATCTCCAGTGCTCAACCCAGTGCCTGGATCCTAATAGACACTCAGTAAATATTTGCTGACAGAATGAATGGATGGATGCCTTTGAGTAGGTAGCTTGAATATACGTTAGAAAAAAGATCTGATTGACCCAAACAAGGACCCAGATGGAGATCCATAGGAAAAGCTTGCCAGGAAGAGGGACTCTCAAATGTAAAGAAATCCCAAGACAAGAATCGGCTTGGCCTCTTCAGTGAACAGGAAAGAGACTGGCCACTGTGGCACAGTGGAAATGGAGACAGACTCTGAGAGGGACACATACATATACAAGGGCATGACTTCTTTTTCTGATAGAGTATGGAAGTCATTGAGCATGTGATGGGAAGGCACTAGAGGTTTAAGCCAGAGAGCACATGATACTAGTTGTATTCTGAAGTATTCTGAAACATTGCTCTAGCTGCTGCATGGAGAATGGAACTCTAGGGACAAAAGTCAGAGTACATCGAGTGGAGACAATCATTGCCTTCCAGTGGAAGATGGAAACTGGAACCCAGGTGGTAGAAATAGAGTTCTCGGGAAGTTAATGATGTAATGCAAACAAAGTTAGAAGTAAAGCAGACAGAACATGCTATAGAAGTTTACAATTGAAAATTCCACTTAAGAGAGCTCCAAGGAGATTGAGCTGCTCAGGTTTTAGGATTGCCTTGTAGGTTTTCAGGTGCAAAGGACTTAGAAAAACAAGCAGCAAAACAGACTTCCAGAACTAGAAATCACTATTTTGGGTCTATTATTACCATGAGTCGTTGGGAAATTCTGTACCACATTATTGATAGTGGGGGAGTAGTCTTCCTCCAGATAAAGCCAATCCATGAAACCAATAAATAGCACACACTGGTTCATCACTGGGCCTGAGAATATTACCCTGCTAAGTTTGCGTGCACGCCTGCAGCTTCTGATGGACAGTTTTTCATTATCTCTTTCCCTGAAGAGTCAATTACAAAAATAATTTTTCTTGAGGTTCTTTTGCATTTCTATAGCGTGACTGCTCTTAAATTGTTATGTGTTTATACATGTACGAGCATGTGCATTTTAAAGTTTTAAAGGTTGATTGATGCCTAACTTATTTCCTAACTATTTTCTTACTTATTCCAAACATATCATTCTTGACAATTTGCTTTCATTTTCTCCTGAAAACCAAATAGAAGGGTTAGAATAGCTGTAAAATGTGGCTCTGCTTTGGCTTTCCTTTTATGGACCATTCTGTTCTTTTGAATTGTACTCAGAGCTCTGTGCTTACTTGTTCTGTGCATAATGCTCCATTCTGTGGTTTATTAACCAAAGCCACCTTAACATACATCTGAGGAAGCACACACGGCTCCTTCTGGGTTTTAGAATGTCTTGTCTTTTGAAACAAGGCAACAGGAGGCTGTCCATCCCCAGGACAGTGCCAGCAACAAGAAGGGTGGCAGAGCTGGTGCTGCCACGGCCCCCTGAGAAGCCACTCTTAAAGGTCATAGTGTGGAATGATCCCACATTCCAGCACAGCCTGAGAGCTCCTTTTTTACCACCTGCCAGGCAAGTCTCAAAGACACTAACCATCTGCAATTATAACTGATGTGTCATTTCTTACTTTGCTCTTTGCCATTATTTAGAGCAGTGATACTCAACCATTTGTTGGGAGCAAACAGGCCTGGAGCTATTGTTCTTTGTCATCTCAGGTTTCTGTTTCTCTGTATAGCTTCACCTGTGGTCTGTCTATGCTTATGATGGGTTCACCATGTAACAGGACACAGTACAAAGGCTACGAAGGATAGTTCTTGTTTTATTTATGCTAGCTTTTGTGATGACTGGTTAAGGGCTGCTTTTGCTCGCTCTCTCTCTCTCTCTCTCTCTCTCTCTCTCTCTCCTCTCTTTCTCTCTGTTGTGTGTGTGTGACTCTGTATGAACACTTTCAGCTGCCAGTTTTCAATTCTTCTGTGAGTATAAATTTAAATGCCTTCTCCAACGCAGTTAATGGTTCCCTGTCCTTCAGCCTCTAGAAATCAGCTGTTCTTATCTAGTTTAATGCTGAGTATCCTGGGCACCAACAAATTATACCAATTAAGATCACAAATCCTTGGAGCCTACCTGGGTTAGAATCCTACCTCACACCTTCCTACCTGTGTGACTGTAGGCAAGAAACTCTGCCCTGGCTTCTGTATCTTTAAAATGAGTGTGCTAATTTGGCCTACCCAAAGCTTGTGGTGAGGACTGAATGGATAAAACCGGTTGGAAGGTACCTAACTAATGGTCCACAACATGTTCGCCATTATTATATTCCTAGAGGTTACAAAAGTCCCATCACTGTGCTTATTAACATCATTTCACTAAAAAGAAAGCAAGCTCACAGGATTTGGCATGACTTGTGACAGAAGTTCTAGAAGCTCAGTCTCTTAATCTCAGTCAAGTTTTCCCCTTGTTCAGGATCATTGCTGTTGTGATGGGTGGTGAATAAACTAACAAGCATCTCCACAGCGTTTGGTAGCAACATAAGAGACACAGAACCCACACAGAAAATCCTAGGGTGTCATATGAAATCACTTTCTTAGGAGAACCCCAAGCCGTGAAATGTGTGTGGCAGAAGTTATGAGGATAGCTATGTAAAATAAACTAACTGAACAGAGCAGGATGGCTAGGAAACAGGAAGTAAAGAGGAGAGGAGGAATGGAGATACACTGATGAGGAAGAGTCGAAGATGTTGGAAGAATCAGAGCATGAATAAGAACCAGGAAGGGCGGTGACCTGATGTTTGATTCTGAAAACCGTCTTTTGAGTTCCATTTGCCACGTGGCTTCTAAGAAACAGAGGTTGAGTTGAGTGATGCTCGAGCAGATTTTTAGATCTGTTGATTTTGACTCTGTTGTTGCCTTAATTTAGACTTCCAGAACACATTCCTAGAGGAAGAGAGTGCCAGGGACATAAACTTGCATATTCAATGACAGGGCTGCAGATTTGATGCAAACTTCGTACATTTTCTTCTCAGCTTTAGCTGACGCCAAAGGAACGGATCCCATTATATTCATTTTCAAAAACATATTAGAAGCTGATGTCTTTGCAAAAACACCACCTAGGAACTCTAGAGTTCACTGCTATTAAATATCTCACCTAGACCTCTAGAGATTATCCTGAATTTTAGTTATTTCTGGAGCGATTTTTGAGCGTTCTCTTGTGACATGAAAAATCAAGTTACTTTTCTTTTTCTCTCATTTTTACCTAGATACACAGTATTGTTTGACAGTTCATCACTTCACCGGTCATGGAAGAAGTACGTCCATTACCAAAAAGTGTGCCTCTAAAAATGAATGTCATTTTGTTGGTTGCCGCCACAGCCAAGGTTCTGAGCATACGGTAAAGATTGTGTGTGTGCATGCATGTGTATGAAGTTGGTTTCCCAGGTTTCACGGAGTGGTGGTAAATTATACATTATGAAAGAAGTAGGAAGAATGAACAATATGTTAGACCTGTTTGTACTCTAACAAAAGACTGTGTTACAGTGTAAAATAGAAAGCAGATAGTATTCTATCTTCAACAAGAAGTCATGTTATTGAGTGTTAATTCCCATTCCCCAGAGATAGACTCTAGGCTTTAGACCTTGTATGAACAGTCTGAAACCAGCTCTGTTCACCCAAGAACAACCCAGCCATGAGCAAATCCAGATCACATGTTCAGTCAGGAATCACCACAAACACTTCCCAGGGAAACCGGAAGCCAGAAAGGGGGAAAATGATGACAATTTTTGCCGTGGAAACTTTGTCTTACCTGCCACCTCTGCTCAGAGGAGAAAGTGAAAGTTTAGAAGAATAAGATGAATTATAGTTACACTATGGATCAATTCATCACTTTAATATCCTCATTCTAATGCCCCAAACAAGAATTTTATATGCCAGAAATCCTAAAATGCTTGAGAAAAAAATTACTTGACGTTACATTGATTTCATGAAGTTTTAGAATTTGTTGTAGCATGTATGTGCTGTACATACACACTCTGATCATGTAGGATCATATGGATGACGAGTACAGGGTCTGAATGCTGGTGATGCTGGAGGGGAGCATCCCTGACTGAGTGAAACAGAACCTCAGGTAGAGGTCCAGGGCATCAGGATCATTTTTGAAAGTTCCCAGGCTAGGCATAGGGGTTCATGCCTGTAATCTCAGCACTCATGAGGTGGAGGCAGAAGGACTGTGAGTGTGAGGGAGCTTGGACCATATAGCAAGACATTTTCTCAAAAACTGAAAACATTAAAAAATAAAAAACTCCCCCAGGTAAATTTGAATCTCTAGTAAGCAGGCTGGGGAGCCACTGATGGAGCTGCACAAAGTCACTGCATCTCTGCTGCCTCACCATCCTTGAAGCCTGTATGCAGGGCCAGGCTTGTGGGGCAGGCATCGTACCAGGACTGCATTGATATTACAACATGTGGTGGCTTCCCCTAAAGGATTCTTAGAAATCCTTATTTTTTCCTACTCAGCAGGCACAATTATCAAACTGTTGCTGCAGTAATGTTGGGAATTGAGAGGCAGCATAGGTAATAGCAAGCCATAATTATTACTAAGAAAGAGAATCAAGTTCAGAAGGTTCCTACTTTCACTTTGGTTTCTAACAGGCCTGTTGTGATTTGGTGACTCAGTGGCAACTCAGGCAGCCTAGTTTAGTTACCCTCCCTCTTCACCTTGGTTTTGCTTGGGTTTGGTATAGATACATCAGAGTTCGAGTGAAAAGATGCTCAGGATGGTGTTTCTCTTATGGCTTATTGCAGGGGAAGGAAACCCACAGGCCTGGGTGACACTGGATAGCCAACCGCACATCTGCTTCTGGGGAAGCTAGAGCAGCCTGTCTTTAGTTTTTGCTTATTCCTTCCTCTTTCCTGCTGTTGACTCCCTTTTCTTTCGTTGGGGCAGGAGTGTAGGTCTTGCTGTGAAGGAATGATCTGCAATGTAGAATTGCCCACCAACCACACGAATGCAGTCTTCGCTGTCATGCATGCTCAGAGAACATCTGGCAGCAGCATCCCCATGCCCTACCTCCCAGTGCTGGCCTGGGTCTTCATGCTTCCCTTGCTATGATGCCATCATTCCTAGGAGAGGCAGAGACCAGCACTCTAAAGCACAAGGCGGGAACACTGACCTCTGGAGTGAAGGCCCATCAAGCACTAGGTGAAGAGGACACATTGGACCCCAAAGCAGAAGCCAGTGGTTTGCTTTGCCGAAATGCTCCTGCATGAAGTCATGACATTGAGCATGGGGCTTAGTAGGGACGAAGAGGATTGCCTGCCTTCCAGCTTCCTGCTCAGTTCTGGAAGGAGGGTCCTGCCAGTATCATTGATCAGTTACAGTAGCCTGATAGGTCCTGGCCTGACTGGGCCTTTAACTGGAAACACTTCTTTGATCTCATGGACCGCCCCCCGCCCAAACCCAGAGGCTGCTGGGTCAGACCCTCTGGTTTCTACGATTATCTCTGAGCAGCTCTGTGAAATTTAACCCTTCTACCCATGGACAAGCAGTTTCCCTAATGTGATGGCTTTCAATTACTGTAACAACTATTTGAGATAATAAGCTCATAAAGAGAAAAGGTTTATTTTGGCTGGCATTTTGGAGGTTTCAGTATATATTGGTTTGGGGCTTGTGGAAAGGCACATCATTTTGAGATGTGTGTTAGAGCGTGAACAGCCACTCATAATGGAGATTCAAAATGGGGAAGGAGGTGGGGAGAGAGGAGAAGGAGAGGAAGAGGGAGAGGGAGAGAGAGTCCATGGTTCTCTTCAAGGACGTGTTCCAAGAGTCCTAAAACTTCCTAATAGCCCCCACCTCCTAAAGGCCCCACCTCCTAAAGGCTCCACCTCCTAATGGTACCCAACAGTCTAGGGATGGAACCTTTAAATGTTGGACATTCAAGATTAAGCAGTAGCACCTGCCAATAGCCTAGTCTGTAAGAAAGGCAACTAACTGTAGGAAGAACGTTTCCAGTCAACATACTATGAAGTGTGTGTGGGGGGGGGGTAAACTTGTAACTGTGTTGTGTAATGCATTCTGTGTTTCTTGACTGATGTGGAGGCCTCTGATAAAGCACATTTACCATTGTCACCAAAGCTGTTTTTCCATGCATCACAGGTGATATATGCTGGCTGAAAGAATAAAATTTTATGACAAAGTGGCTTAGTTTTTGTTTGTTTAGCTTTGTTTTGAGGACTCTTTGGGGCTAAATGCAAACATTGTATTGAGATGGTCAGGAAACTTTGCTGACCAAGGGGATGCCACTTCTTTATCACAGGTATCCCCAGAAGCAACAGCTTACGAGACCCACTCACAGGAAATAGCAAGAAGCCCCTCTTCTCTGAATATCAAGACCAACAGAAGAACCTCTTTATGTGTATGTGTGGCCTTGTGGTTTCCTCTCCCTTTTACAGCACTGTTTCAGAACTGCAAGTGAGTGTCTCTTGTCTGTAAAACCAAAAAGTGTTTGCCCTCACATTTTTTCAATGTATATTTTTTATGAACTTTTTGTGCATTTCATGCAAAACATCTTAATCATCTTTATACCCTTATACCTCTTCCCCCATTCACACCCTTCCAGAGCCCCCTCCACTGGATTTCATGCATTCTGTCATATATGTTAAGGCCTGTCAGGTCAAGTTAGCATACCCAGATGTCCCTCAAGTGCAAGTTCTTTCACTGGGGTCTAGTCAGCCTATCTAGAGTCACTCCCTTAAAGAAGATCTCACATTTTGAGGTGACCTTTAAACACTTTGCCCTTGTGTGTGCTAATGGAAACAGCCCCCAACTAATCATAAACCATTAGAATTCTGGCTGCTTAGTAGAATCCACTAGTGTTGCCTTGCTTGGACTCACCTGAGACATAAACTGTGAAACCATGGCTATAGTTTATGTATGTCTGGGCTGTTTTCATGTTCTAATGCAGGGTGGCTGAGAAGCAACAGAGACTGTGGTCTGCAGGGCTTCTCCTTTATAGGAAATGCTTTATGGCCCCTAAGCTATGAGAAGTTTAGACTGCTTAAAGAGAAAGCTGCCTTTTGTACAGGGCTCAGGTATGATGCTTGGTCTGGGCGACAATTTGCTAGATACTTCTTTTGTCTTCTGTATCAGTGAGTTCTTCTTCTCTGTTTTGATCTATTGTTCCATTTACTCGATTCTGTATGTTGGTATGTGCTGTAATGTCAAAGGCTGAGATGTATTTGTCTCTTTTCAGCCTTGATGCATGGGGAGTGTCTCATCTTATGAAAGACTCTTTAGTTTCCATAAAACAAGGCAGGGGCAGAGACATTATCTCCTCATCTCTTGCCCAACCTCAGACTCACCTGGAAGCATCAGTTTTGAAACCTGATGTAGATTCATCCCACGTTTCACTCAGCACCTTGAAGTATTTGTGTCTTCATAGTTTATGCTTGTTTGAAACTAATTATGTATGGCTTCCTTTGGAGCCTTTTAGTAGCATCTTTGGTGTCTTTTTATTCCCCAGGGTTTCCTTTGACTGTGTAATTGACACATTGTCTGGTAATAATAATCATTAGAAGAAGACTATAATAGTTTTTAAATTTTGTTTCTGCTGTTTAGATTAATCTCTCTCTGTCTCTCTCTCTGTCTCTCTCTCTCTCTCTGTCTCTCTCTCTCTCTCTCAGTTGTTTACTTGTTCTCAAGGAAACATCCTGATTTCTCTTCTTCACCCTGCATTTCATGTTTGTTGGGGTTTTACTAACCTACACTTAAGCATTTAAAATGGAGGTATGTTGAGCACGGGAGGGCATGCCCAGAAGAAAACACTAACGGAGACAGCTGAGTGCGAAGGAGGCGATGGATTTACAAATAAAAATGTGGCATTACCCATTAAATTTGAGTTTCTGATAAGCACCAAATAATTCTTTTCATCCAAGTTATTCCTGAACTCACAAGGCTGGTTCATCCAAGAATATGGTCTCATATCTTTATAATAAATCAGACTCTTTAAGACAAAATACATTTCCAGAATTTTGGAAAAAGCTGATTCATTAGTAGATCTCGCTTGGAGCCCAAGTCTAAACATTAAAACAAAACAAAAACTTTAGATGGTGATGCTTCTCAGCCTGGTGTGTTGCCTCTGACCTGAGGGAATTATTTCTCCCTCTGATGTTCTATTCTTGGTCACACAATGGAAATGTTAATGAACAATATACTTGTGCACCACAATCGGCGTTAGACCATGGTCCTCAAAGTGCAACCCCCAGACCAGCATCATCAGTGTTACCTGGGAAATGGTTAGAAATGCAAACTGGTACTTCATCACAGATCCACTGAATCAGAAACGCTGAGGTTTCAGTTTTTATGCTAACGAGGTCCCCAGGTACTTCTGATGTAAAGGCAAGTTCATGAGCCATTCACTGAACCAGAGAAGCTCTTTCCCAATGTATTCAGTAAATGGGTCCTTGACGTCTGCATGAGAATCATTTGGGGGAACTTCTGAAAATAGACAGGTAGGTAGATAGATGATTGATAGATAGATGATAGATAGATAGATAGATGATAGATAGATAGATAGATAGATAGATAGATAGATAGATAGATAGATAGATAGGAAGTGGAAAAAATCAAACTCCTTCATCCTAATTCCTGAAAGTCATATTCTCTTTATTACATTTGTGGGGTGTGTGTGTGTGCGTACAATATGCAGGAATTGATTTTCTTTTTCTACTATGTGGGCCCCAAGGATCAAACTTAGGTGGTTAAGTTTGGCAGCAAGTGCTCTTACCTGTCGAACTGTCTTGCTAGTCCCATAGTCAGGTTCTCTATATCCTAAGAAACTCAAGTGATTCTGATACACAGCCACTTTGAAAGCTAGCTAATAAAAGATGCTCGTGTTGTTGGCAAGCAGAGTCCATCCTTCAGTCTTTGAGGAGGGTTTTATCTAATTTTTTATTTTTGTATATGTGTGTATACATCTGTGTGTCTCTGTATGTGGGTATATACACACATTCCACCACATATGTGGAAGTCAGAGGACAACTTTCAGGAGTTGCTTTTCTTCTACCTGGGTTCTAGGGATCTAACTCAGGTCATCAGGGTTATGCTCCTAGTGTTTTAACCAATGAGCCATGTCACTAGTCCCACACAAATATGCATGTGAAGTTGACTCTGTGGTCTCCTTCAATGAAAGCTAGAATTCAAAAAATAAATCCAATAATTGGAGGCTATTACAGGGAACTTGTAGTCCATTGCATAAGGATGTGGAATGGCCAGATGGCCAAGACCTCAGACTAATTTAATTTGTCTTTCGTGAGCAAGACAATAGGAAACAATTTAGGTTTACAATGTTCTGTGAGAATTGGAGTCATGAGCCAGGAAGGAAGGAGAATTTGCAGATAGGCTGTGACAAAAGAGTCAGTGGAATTAGCTTGACTATGAGGAGTATCTGAGGGAGGAGTCCATCAAATTCCATTTTAACTAGCTCTATGTTCTAGAATAAGCACTGAATTCAAATCCATCAGTAAGATTTTTGAAAAAGGGGAAAAGAAAACATATTTTGCAACCCCCCATCATTGCCCAAACTCTCCATGAATTCAAATCTAAGTGAAGTTAGCAATCCAAAATTACAGGTATTATCTTCCATACATTTCCTTACACTCTGCATTCTGTCATGTCAGTGCCTGGGTAGAGCATATTTCATAAGAAAAAGGAATAAAGTAAGGAAGAATTTATAAAACATCACAGAGCCTAAAACAATCTGGAATGGCCTCGGGAGGTACATTGTGTCACGGAACTGGGAAAACAATTTCACATTTATGAAATGAGTTCACGCTTAAGTCAAATTTTTGTCACCTATAGATAATTTTGCCAGCAAGCAAAATTATGCTGTGACCTTTGTATCTTAGATATTTTCTACCTTATTCTTAGTTGTTGACCATTCTGACTATTGGTATACAAATCATGCCAGAAGATGTATGCCCCCAGAGGTGTAGATAAAGTCAGAGATGCTGGAAAACAAATGAGTCTGTCTGTAGGCGCAGCCTGTGACTGGCCATTTGAGACAGCTCAGCACCTTTCTCACACTTCTTGTTCACTCTTCATCCCTCTAACTCTCCTTCAACCCCCTTACTCATTGTCTAGCCTATGTTCCATCAACTGCTGGGGCTGGAAGCTGTACTGGCTTCAGGAGGGTGTGGCGTAGACAGTATGGTAAGGTCTGAGAGAAACAGCTTCCACAGCTCCATGCTGGCAGGTCTGGAGAATGTATTTTTAAATAAATGTCTGATCTCATAATGGTGATCCTGATACTCTCCGGCCTAAGGCATCATTAAAGAAATAACCCAGAACCTCTGCATAGGCTGTAGAGTTCCAGGACAAAAGTATCACACACCTTTTAAACCTTCACACAAGTACTTTTTTAGATCATGAAATCAATGCCAACAACTAAGGGGCTGGGAAGAGCCTGGAGACCCTCTGGCATGGCAGAGCTGATGTGCTGAGAATAGTCCTGAGAGGCCTGGGATAAGCGAGAGCTCTGAAAAAGCAGCGTGGGGCCCTTCAGGCAAGCAGATGGCCACAAGGCCCTGGCAGTCATACCCAGTGAGGCTGTAAGAAGCAATATGGAGCAAATAGCAAGGCAAGCCTATGCACAGCACAGATTGAAAATCACACCCAGTACAGCTGTCCTTCAAAGGAGGATAGGCAGCATGGGACAAGCAATCCCTGGAAAGAGTTTCTGATAAGGCTTCAGAGGGTTCCCAGTCAGGGAAGGAGTCTTTATAAAGTGTTGTCTTTTGGATTACTTCAATGATAAATTTCAGAGACTCTCAGTCAAATTGTTGCAAGTGAATTTCTTGGTTCATATAGGTAGAAGAAAACTGGGTTTTGAGGTTGGCTTGGTCCTGTGCATCCAGCTCCATTCTCTGCTGTTCTTTGGCTCCCATCTTCCTCATGTCTTGTGGTAAGCAGATGCCACAGCTGTGCCATACAGCACACCCAGTGTCCAGGCAAATAGTGACTGCATGCTCTTGAAAAAGAGAAAGAGCTTTTCCACCTGCTCCCAGCAAATGGCAAGCAGAGAAGAGATGGTTACCTTTGGACTGGTACAGCCAAAGGGCGGTTCTGTGTCCTCTGAGGGCTGTGTGGTGCATGGTGGAGGGGAGATACCTGAACAAATCAAGATATTAGAAAGGCAACAGG